AAAGAGAAAGGAGACTGAATTCCTCTGCTCTTTTAGAGTCCTTCCGCTGGATCAAGGCCAAAGGCAGCAGGCAGCAGTGCTGCGTTGCACTGTGATTTTAATGGAAATGCAGAGGACTCTTACTGCTCGGAATCATTAGTTCTTTGCTAAGTTCTTCCTTTAATTCCTCTTCAGTTCTTCAATTCTTTGTAACTTCTTCCTCTACTAGGTAAGAGTAGGAATCACTTTGAACCAGTTCACATTGGAAAATACAACGTGACAGTTTGGGAACCAACGAATGCCTCTGCCTTGTGCCCCCTTTAGGGACTGGACACCAGAGATGCTCTTAGCTTACTAAATTGTTTAAATTGAAATATTAAAGGAATGTTTATGTTTTTCTGAAGTATTTAGCATCGTAGCTTTTTTGTTTGTTTGTTCATATTCATGGTGTGGTAAGGAGGGATCTTGCATAATCACGGATCCAAACTTGGCTGCAGTAGATCCTGTCCATATGAATAACAAAAATGTGGAACAACATAATACATGAGCAGGAGATACATAAAGAAACAATGAGATAATAGCAGTCATTGTAATGATGAAACACCTCCCATTGGGAACAGCTGCCATCTCCCACCTAGGGGTTGGCTTTCTCCTTTGGGCTCCCCCCCTCCAAAGGCAATACATATTTTGTGGTGTAAATAGGTATCGTATAGATCAAAAGCTTTCCAGAGATAAAAAAATATCGAGCTCCGAGATCAACGCTTTTGATGATCAGCACTTCAGCCAGAGGTGGCCAATTTTGTTGTTAAAAATTAAAAGCTGCACGTTCTCACGAAAACATATTCTTGCTAAACCCCAGCATTTACAAAGTTCTACATAGTGTATCTGAGATCAGGACCTATGGTAGACCACAGACTTAAGTTGTAATAAGTATTCCCTTTGGTTTTGAGACTCAGTAATATTTTAAACTTTTTTCAGTAGATTTTTAAAGCTGTTGTTTTTTCATAATTGCCTTCTAGGAGCTTTTTTTAAGTAAAATTACATTTTATCATAAAACTACAAAAAAGTTATGCTAGGAGTGTATTTTAATATAATATGTCACATATTATCTGGTAGGGAATGATAACATGCTTCTCTGGGAAACTAATGTGCTGCAAACATAACTCTTTGCACAGGTTATCTCAGAGTGCACGTGGAGGGATAACTGCTGTGCAGTGATCAGCAACCACCCAAATTAACATCTTCATTTCACCAGAATAGTTTTTCCTGTGTGCTGCTTTTAACTAAGGAGTGAACTATGTCTAAGAATTAATACCTGTTCAATCTACATTTAAAAAATTAAAGATAAGTTTGTAATTTTTTTAGGGTTTGTTTCTGTATTTGTCAAGCCATGGTCAGTATCCATGTTTATTCTGTAGCTTTAATAACTGCTGGTTTCATTGCTAGCAAGTCATGAAAGAAGTAAAGAAACGATGCTGTCTGCCAAAACTCTTACTTCTCTTGATGAACTTTATTCATGTAACTTTCGAGATTTTTTTTTTAATGGATTTTTCTTTCATAAAATGCTTTTTTGCCTTTCTCATACTTCTCCCTCCTTGAATATTTTTGTAATTTAAAAATAAAAGGACTAGTAGGGTGCCATTTGCCCTCCCTTTCTGGCAGTGTTCCTATATTTCCACTTTTGGTTGGAGATCACAGTAATCCAGCGTGTTGTGGAAAACAGTTCTCCCTGGAGGGACATCTGGCTCTTTGATGCACTCCACAGGCAGTTCTCTTGGCAGCTCTGGAGATGCCACTGAAAGATCTGGCACACTTCTGTTTAGATGAAAGTAAGAAAATCCCTTGTTAGTGATGCACAGAGTAAGATACTGGTTATTGCACCGAATTGTTTTGGTCCTACTCACATACTTCTGACAGTAAACATTAGCACAGAGGAGATTTTTTTTTTTTTGCTAGATATGAATGTGGAAGAAAGTAAAAAGGTCTGCAAATACAGAATCAGTAAAGGCAGAAAAGGAAAAAAAATGCAAGATTAGTTAAGTAGTTGCAAAATCTATTAAAAGGCATGAGAAAAACTGAACAGGGATCATGAATGAAAATTCAATTCCTACCCATCTAGTAAAATGAAAAGAAGAGGCGCGTTATGAGTAATTGCTGAGCACTTACCACTGACCTGGCGAAGAGCACATGTGTGAGTGAGTAATTGCTGCTGAACAGGAGTTATACGGTGTAGGCATTGGAGATTGCTGCTGCTATTTCTTTATTCAGCGTTGCATCGTTTGACCACCTTCACATTTTTGTTGGCTTTACTACATTTTAGTTCAACAGACAAGTGGGGTCTTACTTGGTTCCAAAAAGCAGGATCCATTTTGATGGATCATGTTAGTGAGAAGAGTTTCTCGTGTGTATTCACTCTGCTCTGAAGATATGCATTGATAACCACCAGCTGGTCATTCATCCTCCACGAACATCCTCATCGCAGCTGCCCATGCTCTAATCTGGACATTCATTATTCAAAGTCAGACGTGCTAGGAAGAAGAGTTGTTTCTCATTCCTCCCCCAAGAAAGACAAAGGCTGCCTGATGGCAGCGGTGGCAAATCTGTGGCATTGGGGTCAGAATTGGTATGTGCTGCTCTTGTAACTGGTATGTGAGCGAGCTGGCTGCTCTCCCTGCGAGCTGAGCAGATTGCAACAGCAGCAGAAGAAGGGAGGAGATTTGAAAGAGCAGGGCAGATGGCACAAGGGGCTTTAAGAAGTGGCCCCAAGAAAAAAACACCACCATGATGGGGAGATACTGGCATCTGGCATCTGTTCTGCTGTTACTCAACCAGGAAAGAATGTGTACCCTTACAACAGCCTGGCACAACATGCCATCTTCTGAAGCCAGGGAACTGAAACCTGTTCCCAGCCTTAATTATAGAGGACCCCGAGGTATCATAGTCTGTTAGGTTCTATGTAGTCAGCCAGAGTTCCATGTATAAAAATTCATCTCCTGGAAAAAAATTATTTGGGAGAACTTTTAATGTGCTGAAATACCTACTTCATTCAGAATTCTCTGCATACAAAATCCATACCTATAAAAGCATATTTTGAGACTGAGTTATGCATTGACTAAATACAGAATTGATTAAAAAAAAAACAAAAACAAAACCAACACCTTTGACTAGTGCAACTAGTATTGTAATAGTCTCTTAGTTTTGTTCCTTCTAGCACTATTCTCTACAGCACTTTTTCACCTCCAGTTAAATATTTTCTTTTCCCATCAAACTTGAGTGCTTTTCTTCCGTGGCATGTTGAAGACTGTTAAACAGTTTTAATACACAAGTTTCAGGAATTCAGTTCAATTGACCCCTGTCTTTGTTACTTTCAGGAGTAAAACCTTGAATTCCCATAAGTCATTTTGCCATGGAAGATCACCACTGACTTCTGTGTGGCCAAGATTTCACTTACGTATTCCCACCTTGAAAAGCAAACATCAAAAAACATTATTTAGCTTACGAGTTTATATGTCCAGACTTCATGGACGCTTTATTTTATCTTACAGATGCTATGTCTCTACGTAGCTATTTCTGATATAGCAGTCTCTATTTGGCGTTTTTGACATTGTCTTTGTGTGTGATCGTTCTGAATTGCAAAAGACAGAGAATCAAGGAGGCAAGGAAAGGTATTTGGCAGTAACATTTATGACTTCGAAATACTCACTAGCTACCCCTGCTCAATGCCTTCTGTCCAACTGTGGCCACAGTTATGCTACAAATTGTCTCTGAGGAGGGTTTTTTTTCATCATTCAGGTGCCTCAAACAAGCCCGATGTTGTACTCATCAAGCTTATCAATTTTTAGCCATTTTATTAGATACAATATGTATCGATTAAAAACATTACAATTTTGAATCTTTTCAGTATCTTTGAGAAGAAATTACTTGGAGCGCTTGACATTTTAATGCAGTTTGTCTTTCCAAATAGATTTGGCTTCTAATGCATGTGACAACAGGACTTTGCTCTTCAGTTAGAGCATACATTTCAGAGTAGTTGTTACCTAAAATATTATCATAAGGCATAAGAAAACACACGATTTAAGTTGCCTTTCATGAACATAATTAAGAATTAATAAGCCTGTACCAGTGGCTATTACTCAGAATTTCCACTGTTTTGCCTTTTCTGACCCGTGTTATTAAAAGTCCATTATTTTTACAGACTTTATTAAATTGGATCTTATTAAAGCATTCTATATTTGCATTTGGTCTTTCATAATTCATTATTATTATGACATTTACTTTTTACCATCAGATCTGAAAACATATCATAAGCTACCCTTTTCTCTTGAAAGAAATGCTAATTTCAAACAGTCCTCTAATGGAAGAGAAAAGCTTTATCGGTTTTTTCATTTATTCAAGATCGTGTTAAGAATACTAATGCTAGACTTCTGTATGCTAATATCCAAGAGCTTTTTTTGGTCAAAAGCTTAGAATTATTGTTTTTAGACCACAATGGTCTAAAAAGTATGTCACTGGCAGGGCACTAGTACAAATGAAAATACAATTCTGAAGTACCACGTTTTAATTCTATGACTGATGAAAACAATTTCTTGATCTTTCATTATTAAATTATGCTTTTGTATGAAATTACACTGTTTTTATACTTTGCCATGTTTACTAGATTATGGCTCTACTTAGTTTCTCTTTAGAAGTTTTTAACAATTGATTTAGCGTGATTATTTAGGGGGGGGTAGTTTTGAATTATAGCCTGCAGAATAGTGTAACAGGAAATGGAATTCTCCATCAAATAAATCACTGTTTTATTACTTGTTTTAATTTAGACAACCTGGGGTCTATCATATATTTGTAAATATTCTCATAATTTAATCGTAAAAAGGGATAAAGAGCTCTAGAATTGAATGCAGGAGCCTAGATGTTAAACAGTAGATAACACTCAGTTAAACTGCTGGATTTAGCATATTTCTTTTTTAAAAACTAACTTCAAAAACACCTCTACAATGTTAACTAATTTTTTTCTCACATAGGTTTCTGACGATGTGCACTAGACACTTCGGGAGTGTTGTAGCCCAAACAATTCGAACTCAGAAGACAGACCAGTTTCCACTTTTCCTTATTATGATGGGAAAACGATCATCTAATGAAGTATTGAATGTAATACAAGGTACTGTTCTCGCTTTATATTGAAAGTATTTCTTATGTGAGTATTGAAACTGTTAGAAGGCATCTTTGCTAACCATTGCTTTTTTGAGATGTTCAGAATATGAATTTATTTCACACAAGAAACTTTCATTTGCCATGGTATAAATAGCTACTATTCATAAATGTGTTAATTAACATAGTAATAGAGATTGAAGTTGCCATGACTGTAGTAGAACCATAGTTTAAGTTTTTTGTTTTTTTTAAAGTAGAAGCCAAATCTCCTAAATAAGGAGCTACACTTAGTTTTCCAAATTTATATCCATATAAATTACTGATTTCCAAAATATTTTGGCTGCACTTTTTGTGTGGTGCCGGAATGCATTTAGTTCTCTGTGTGTAGTTCCTTGTTAACATGTGGACTCCTGTTGCATGTAGTGGGCTAATACTTGAACATGAGTTGCTTTTTCAGACCCACCTGCAGTGTTGAGATCCCAAATTGGATCAGAATTTTAAGTTGCTAATAGAATCTCATATAAGCAAAGCTTTCTGGCTTACGTGAGCAGTTCTTCCTGGCATAACCATTCCACTGATTTCACTGACAGCAACATGACTTAGATGTGGAGTGATGCCCTTTGACTGCTGTTCTGAGTAACTCTTCAAATTAAAATACATCGAAGAATGGCTGCCTCTCATTTCTTCTGCTTTCTCCACAAGTTTGCCTTTATGACACTGTCCCCTCATTTATTTATTGCTTATATCTAATAATCTTTATACGAATCTCCTTATTTTCCTGAGGAAATTCAGCCTCAGGAAATACTGCCTTTTGCAGACAGCATTACTGTTTCTTTCTGCATATGGGATTAATCATTTTCTTGAGGAATCTGCAGTGCTCCTTCCTATGGCCAAAATTGTGAATTTTGCATGGATTTTGTCTCCTTAGTGCGAGGTACAGCACAACACTAATTCACAGTACTTCTGTCACTTAGAAAACTTATTTCATACAAATAACCTTTTAAATAGTTTTTCTTGGTTTTGTAACTCTGCAGTGTAGTTCAGCATGTGTATAACTAAGCACGTGCGTTATCCCACTGAAGTCAGTGGTGCTTACTGGCTTAAATTACTTAACTGTTTTAGCAACTTAGTGACTCAAAGTCGTAACATAATGCACCTTTCTATTATAAAATAATCCAAATTATTTCATTGCATTCATTAAGTTTTAATGATTTTTCAGGTTTTCTGCAAACAGTCTTTTGAACTGAACTAAACTAAACTGATCATCTGTTGCAGCCTTACTTAAATTTATCTTTTAACAAAAATCAAACGTGCTCTGTTTGTTATTTCCCCATGAATTGGGACACTGGTATCTTTTAACAATATGCCCTCAAATGAATGGTAGTCTCTGAAGTCATGTGTGTTATAGCATGTGGAGTAAAATTTTCTGCTAAGGTAGCAAATGCTAGAAATAGGAACAATGAGGGCTTTTCAGGGCTGGGTGAGAAGGCATGTTTACAGAAGAGATACAACAATGTAGAAACTTAAGTCCCAGTGGTGTTTATTGAAATGCGGACCAAGTTTGCTTTCGCTTTTTTTTTTTCCCTGGGGTTGGAAACTATGGGGACAGTTTTATTTTCTTTTGTGGTACTGTGGCTTCTGGTTAGTTTACGCCTTTTAAAATTTTGACCAGCATCACAAATATAAATCTAGTTCTTGTTGCTATTGTTCTGCGAATGTCCAAAGACTGTTTAGGTTGGCAGGTGTTAAGAGTTTATAGTTTTAGACCATTTCTCATGGTCCAAGACCTTTTAACTACTATGACAAGTGGCTCTAATGAGTAGTCTAGTCTTCAGTTTAAGAAGAGAAAACAAAGACTGAGTGCATCTTGGTAGAAAATTAAACTAATCTTTCAGTCTTACTGAAGACTGGAGGCACACTGGTAGAAAAATGTGAGGAGGTATGTATTTTCCTATGTATGTGCTGTATTTCTTGATATATACACAGATGACTTACTTTTCCGCTATTATTAGCTTTACAAGTTTTATCAGAAGTAAATACACTGAAAAGAATATATTATAATACTTGAAGTTTTACTACTAGTTATACCTGAATAAAAATGCGTGCACGCACATCCATTTGGTCACTGTATTCTGGGTTTTTTTAAACCAATCCACTTGGATGCTGCTGCTGCCAACATCCTACCTTTTGTTACATGACTAAGCAATTGCTTCCGTCTCCCTGATTATACCTGGGAATTCTAAAACTGTAAAATCAATTTCATGTCAGGGAACCCCAGATATAGGAAAGGTTATAAACCTTTCCTCTAACGTCAGTGATTAAAAGAAAAAATAGTTATTCCATGCAAGCATAAAAGCAATTGTTCAAATTTGAACCACCTAAAATGTTAGCCTATGATCAACATTTGTAAAAGCAATTTCTAAGTTTCAATAAAAAAGCAAACTAAAAGCATTCTGTTGAGATACTTGCATTTTCTACTGTCTTTTTTTTTGTTTTTTAAAGTCTGGCTATTTCTTACAGATTAATTCTAAAATGTCTTCTTTTTTGTTTAATAACTTTAATGATATGAAGTTCAGCTATCTTCCTTTGTTGCTAGGTAACACAACAGTGGATGAGCTAATGATGAGGCTGATGGCTGCAATGGAGATCTTCAGTGCCCAGCAGCAAGAAGACATAAAGGATGAGGTGAGCGTTGAAAGTTACTGCCGATACCTCCTGGCTTCCACAAATCGCTGGGGATGCAAAATCAACCAGATGTTTCTTTAGCCAATGAAGCTGGGTATGATGTGTTTCAGTGTCTCTTCCATCATCAGAGATTAAAAATTTTAAGTCTCCTTTGTGTATTTATTTGGGTCTCTCAAAAAAACCTCCTCCTTATTGGTTTACTGTCATTTTCAGTTTGTTTCCTTTTTTCGAATATTAGTCATAAGTAACCGTTTACATTTAGAGCTTAATATGCTTAATATGATAGAACTTAATATGCTCATACAAGGAAACGACAATCAGGTTTTCTCCCAATGACCAGCTTCAAGTCATAGGTAGAAAACAAAAACAGATTAGATTGATGTATCTTAAATGTATATGTTTAAAAGGGGATTGAAAAACAACCTTAACCAGAACTACGCCAGTACTGAATCACAATTCAGAAGAATACAGAATGGGTAAGTGATGACAAAACTTTTCAAAAACAGTGTTTCAATTACGCAGAAGTAGACACAGTGAGGTATACAGCTGAGAGATATTTATCTGTTACTCTATAAATTGAGAGTGACATTTTGAAGTAATGAAGTACTTAGTTAGGAATTTATAATAATAGGTGTGTTTCCTTTCAAGATTATTCTTATCCTGTTGTATAGACATTGATTGACAATAATGCTTCACATTTAAATCTTGTATCTCATTAGTACGAGATTTACCGATTACAGTTATAATAATATGAAGGCACGGTATCTGCACAATATCTGTAGTTCATTTTTTCTTCTTTATTTATGCTACCTGTAATTCATTGGTAAAGAAATTGACTTTAATTTTTGTTAATACTGAACACAAATTTTAATATGAGGATTACAACAAAAATCCAAGGCACAATATAATTGAATTTTTTATTGCATTTTAACAGGAATATGTCGGGTATGGAGTTTTTTAATGCTTTAATAAGAAGGTAAAATTCACATCACACATGAGTTCCAAGAAAGGTTCAGAACTGGAAACTATAAAAGCTGATAGAAATGAAGAAAACGGAAAGAAAAGGATACAAGGGCAGAGAGATAAGGGCAAATAAGGGATAGGAGAAGGAACTAGAAGTAGGAGTGATAGGAGTGGAATAGAGAAAGGAACAGGAGACCAGAACAGTTGTCCAGAGCAGGGGAGATTGGTATTTAGGAGAGAAGAAGGTAGGGGCAAGTCAGATAGTGATAAACCTGTCCTAGTGAGTTTGCAACTGAGAAAAATCTGAGTGTAAGGGAGACAAAGCTTAAAGAAAGAGAAGACTCGGTAGCCTTGAGGCCATGATCACAGAACCGGGAATGGGCTTCTGCACCCTGAGCTGCTGTGGGTCCTTCCCTGGATGGCCAAGAACAGTGACAGTCCAGTAATGTGTGTCCACACAGTGGTGATATGGATGTCTCCTGACTTCTTACTCCAGGTGCTCTACTTACTCTTAAGTGTGTAGAGAGAATGGAAAATTAATTTTTATACATTCCTCTAAAAACTTTGGATTGGACTTTGTCCAAGTCTTCTGTAGTCTTTTCTCACATTTCCTTTTGTTTTTCTGTCACTGAGATCACCAGTGACATTTCTTCCCCAACGGGAGTTTTTTCTAACACACTTTGACATTCAGAAAACCAATGGAAAATTTCATAAACTTTGGGGGCAGGTTCCCAGACACTATGGGTTCTATACACAAATAGGATATTTACTTATACCTTGGTTCCACTTGTTACAAGCACACTGAAAAGGTGATCTCGGACACTTTCGCCTTTGAAGCAGGAAGTTTAAAAACAAAAAAATAACCTCGCTTTAGGAAATTATTATTCCAGAGAGGGAGTATTTGACAAGCAGTCTGTACTCAATAGAGGGCTTTAGCCTGAAAAAAAGAAAAAAACTGTCTTTTTGTGGTTTGCTACATAACATGTAGCTTTCTTTTAAGTCTGGTACTTGACAACTTCAAGTGTTTAAACATCAACACCTTTTCTTTTTTAAGATCTTATTGCAGTTGGTGCAATTTTTTTCCCAAATATTGCAATAGCAAACAGGATACAGAGTCCGGTTTCTGTTACTGTTTTCTTAATAGCAACAATAAGTCACCATAAAACCACAAGAAGATAAGCAGAAAATTCTTTTGTGTTTTATGAAAATAAGTCATCTATATAGCTTTGCTGTAAACAGAAGTGTGTGTGAGAGAGAAATAGAACTGGAAACACTTGTAAATAACAGCATGAAATCATTAATGAGTCAGTTTATGCAGCTGAACTTCTCCACTTTGGATTTTTAACTTGCATGCACATGAAAGCTTCCAACACAGCTATTGCATAATTCTGTTTAGCACAGCATGTTTTGCAGTGCCCTCTGATGGTTATTTCAGTACAGGATGACTATTACCACTGCCAGCTAATGGTACAGGTGTTTGCTGTGACGCTGGCTGTAGCTGTTCAGGCATCGCTTTACAGTCAGTTCCCTGTCACTGATCATCGACTCATGGTGTAGGCAGGATGCTCAGAACAGTGTCACCGACTTATCTCACCTGAGCAAAGTGAGTCACTTCATTAGCTGGTGGTAATAGTATGGTTAGCTAAATCCTGTGCTTTTGTATCCATGTATTAGTAAAATTTACTGGTGTAGCCTCATAAAATTTTAATCAGGCAAATTTGGGGCATATTTCTATAATGTCAAGTGCTACAATACCATCATTTAACCCACAATTGGATTTAATTTTCAGATTTGTATATTGTGTTTGATTAAGCTGTTTCTTACATAATCTCCAAAGAAACACCTTAAAAACATTGAGATGCATATGTGTACTCATAGTAATCCAACGTACCTGTCTTGAGGTACGGTGGTGAGTAATTCAGGCACCCATTTTCTCTTCCAAGCTTTCTTAAAGGCAGATCAATCTGCCGTCCCATTCTTTTCCCTGCCCCTCCAAGGCTTCTGGGTCAGTCATGAGCCATTGGGCCTGTTGCTTGCTGCCTGTCAGCTGTGTTGACCAGATGACATTTTGGAAACCTCCTGCCTCTTTTGGACCACACTGTTGACGTGTCACTGTAGGTATGTGGGCTAGCTGTCACGCTGCCTGTTTTTATGTTTGCTACTTAAATTGCCATAGTAACAAGCCACAAATAATAAAATATGATCAGCAGCGTACTGACGTCGTGCACATGTTGCGCTTCTGATAAGAAGGGGCCAACGGATAACTGAATGGTGGGTTCAGTGGCATCAACAACAGCAAGGCCAGTTGGCCAGGATACAGTCCCACCCTTGCCAGTGCAGTCAGGTCTAGGGTCTGAAGTTCAACTTCAGGCTGCGTATGGAGAATTACTCTGAGGCTACCTGATTTCATACATCTGATGGACATATTTTCCTTTTCTAACCAGGTTTGCTCCTCTGGCCCACACTACAAATGTTGATACCTCAACTACTGTTCAGGCAGTGGGGTTGGGGATTTTTGCAAAGAGGAAATAAACGCCACTAAGGAGTTTCTCCTGTAAGCGAAAGAAGGTATCTCAGAGCAGGGAAAACCGGCCTCTGCCACTGTTGATCAAGGTGTGAACTGAGATTTTTCGGGGACTGACTTTGAAAAGAGCGCATAGTATCAGTTCCTCTTAAGTGTCAGTGCCTGGTGCTGGACTTAGGAAAACAAATAATAATTGTAAAATATTGTACGCCCTGGAATGTCCATTTTTAAACACCCTGTTAGCTTGCTTACTTTAATTGGATAGTTAAATAATCATCTCACCGTAGCATGATGGGCCCAAATAGAGCCAAGTTAGTTCCTTTGTGAGATTAATGTGAAGAGATACGTGATTAAATCCTGGCATTACAGCACAACACACCTGTTCTGGGCCGATCCTGAACATTTTTTCTCCATTGCCTGAGGAGGAGGCTTCTCAAAGGATTACAGTAACACTTTTTGACAAGCTTATACAGGGTGGAGTTTCCATGTAATGACAGGGCTCATTTGATGATGTCTCAGTAATGCATTCTTTTTATTTTTGCTGTCAACATCTATTACTGTAGAAGCATTGACTGTTACACAGCTGGTCCAACTTGTCCACATTTAAGTAACAGTAGGTCTCTTGTCGTGTTTATTTTTGTCGTTACGCAACACTAGCACTCCTGCTTTCGGATTAGACTTCAAGGTGGAATTGTAATACCCACAGTTGCTTCAAAAACCTTATTTTTACAAACACCAATTAAAACCTTCAATTCACTTTAAACTATGTCTGCTGACACGCTGTTTTCTTTAGTGTAAAAGAGAGAGACAAGAATTTTTAGACTGGAAAAACTGTTGTAAACAGACTCTGACTGAAGATAAGCTGTAGAAAAATGTAGACCTGCAGAGTCACCATCTTTGCTCTCTGATCTTAGGTGACATCTCTTTTTCTTAGATACTGTTACAGCGTGAGGAAAATGTAGGTCCTTCCTGACCAATATCTGGATGGGGATTTAAAAAATACGTAAAAGAAAACAAAAACTCCAAAACAGCAACATAAACTCACCTTCTTTTCCCTGCCACAGCTCTTTTGCAAAAGTATGCTTGCGTGTCCATCCCAGCACTCTCTTGTGTTAGATGGGGCTTTACTGGCCAAGTGTTATTTTCATAACGTTGCAGTAAGAAGCCTGGTATCACCATGTCTTCCTCCTCTTCTGCCTCACTGCTGTCAAATGTAAGGGATTTCCTTCTTTTTTTTAATACGAGAATTTAACACCTTTAGCTTCCAACACCTTTTCTCTTTCTTCTTCCAAAGATGTATCTCACAGCCACAAAGGAACCTAAAGAGGATCGGTCCTAGTGCATTTTCTCCTAATCTGTGGTCTGTTCGTCTTTTCTTCCTTCAAATCGGTTGCTTTTCTCCACTCCTTACCTGCAGTTGTGTTCTCCAGTTAGAGGATGGCCCAAGTGCTTCCATCAGCTGTGCAGGAGACCCCTGCGATTTCTGTTTAGCCACTGAAGCTCACGTTAAAAT